GTTACTGTTGGATATGTAAAAATACCTCCTTCCAGGCCCAGGCCAGCTTTACAAGAGGAACAGGGCCCTAGGGGGTGGGGGAAGCAGATTTGCTGAGCTTTAGATTCATTTGAGCTCACTGCAACCCTGTCAGCCGATCTAAGTTTAACACAGGCCCAGAGGATGCAACACCCAAATCACAAACAATAACTCACTTCATGTCAAAGCCCAGCAAAGAGATTTCTTTTGACAGTTCTTGTTTCATGCTCCCAGTGAGCTCACTAGCTTCCTGCGCAGGCACACGAGCCTGACCTCTCCCATTCACCCACAAGTTGGCCACGTATAAATATGGCCATTAATTCCAGCTGGCACATGGGTTTTGCTGAGGCCCTTCCTTCCTGTCAGCAGCAGGGAAAAAAAGAGTTGGGGGGATGTGTGGAGGGATGAGACAGAAACAAGAAGCAGTCCACAAACTTCCACTGCAAGCTGTCTGGTTTGTGTCTCTTAACTGACCATCCACCATCACACACCATTTAGGCAAAAATACTTAAGAGCAGATTAAGACCAAGAAGAGGAAGCATGTTCTCTCCAGAAGAATAAACCACAAAAGTAGCAGCCCAGTCCTGAACTGATGCAAATTTAAGAAATAAAGCATTACAAAAGTTGTGTTAGAGAGTACTAGAAACACTCTTTTTTCTCTTTTACAATCTTAGTTTACAGGAACAAGCTGATTAGCTATTTTAGCCTGAGTGTGCAGAGAGGCATCACAAGTATCTTCCCTTGGAAAGGCTACTTAGACACACTTTCCATACATAGACTGCAGGGCTTTGGTATAGTCAGGAGAACATTTACAAGACACTCATTCAAAACTGCTTTTGAAAAGGCAACACACTGGGCATAACCTTGTGAGGTTATAGCTGAACAATAACAATGTGTCAGGATCCACAAGGCTGCCTGGTCTGCTTGTAGTTACACCAGACAGCTTTGAAGGGAGAACTAGACACTGATGTGCATGTAGGACTCAAAACTGAACACACTTACCAACCTGTCAGTAAAAACTGGTACAAACCAACCAACCAACCGTTTTCAGCAAAGATGTCCCATAGAGTCTACAGCAACTTTCTACATGAAACAGGTAACCAGACTCTCTAATACAAACACAGCCCTAGCTAAACTGGTCTGAAGTGTTTCATGAAATGTTACTTCTTTACTAACAGGTTTTAACTCTAAGGACCTTCAAATACACAGTGAAAGCAGAATGTGGGGAATTTAACTGTAAGAATTACCACTTACTGTCAATTGTCTGATGGCTGGAAGTGAAAATCTGTTAGCGCAATGCAGAAGAGGTAACAATGTTCAAAGCAGTTGGACTTCAAATGCTCAGAATCTACAAGATACATAAAAGTCACTAGGGTTTGGTTCTGTGGGGACTTCGGGGTAACATTGTGTTGGTTTGGCTTTTTTTGGGTTGTGTTGTGGGTTTTTTTTGTTAAAAGCATATCCCAGATGACTGTTTGCAGAAGTTCTCATCTGTCCAGACAAGCAGTACCTGTCATGGGGCAATTCTGTCAAGGAATTTAGTGTATTTGAAAAACTAAGAAAACACCTTTATTCAAACTTGTGCATTCACTCTGATTTTCCAAGTAGTAGACCCATGTAGGATAATCTGAGAATTAGTTAGAAAGTTCAGTTTATGCATTGTCAGATCCAAAAGATGAAGTCTGAAATTGTCATTCTATACAGTGCTATTCTCTACCCTAACTGTTTTTAGACAAGTCTAGAGTATTTAAGCTGAAGTAATTTTGTATAACTGTAAAAAGCTTATCTATTGCCACAAAAAGCTTGATGTTTCCTTAGCTTCAACAGCCAGAATTGGTGCCACCACTGTTGGGGGACCACTTCAATCCAAGAATGGATTGAGCTGGAGCTCAAACCCACCTTTATAACTAGATTATCAGAAATCAGGTGTGAGCATAAAAAGAAACTTTGAAGATGTATGAAACCACTTTCAGAAGTGATATATGAAAGCAGGTGGTTAGAAGACGACAAACTTTTCTAGCTGACAAAACAGACTGAGAGGAAATGCCAGTAGCCAGCAGTCAGTATCAGGAGGCAGAAGAGTGACAATCTCTTTAATTTCCAAATTTAATTTGTATGTACAGAATAAAACCAAAACATTATTTAATAATGGGCAGGTAAATAATAAAAGACTCAGGAAAAGAGATTTAGGTATTGTGTTGCATGGCTGCAAACATATTGAGCACAAATTACTCTAAGGAATATTTAAGTTCCTGCAATTAGCTTTCAAGTGACTCCAGTGCTGTTTGCTTCTGCCCTGCCTTCTAGCTCCCAACAACTCTATCATACACAGTCTCTTACTAAGTTTCACACACAGAAGAAGTTGTAGTGTTAAGAAAGAGGTAAGAAAAAGCCCAGTCACAGAACAGAGCAAGTAGAGTGCTCTCTTTGTAGAGTACCTCAAAGCAAAGTATCAATACTACTCCTCAGTTTCAACATGTGTCACAGCAAGTATGTTAATCTCTAAAATCTGAATCTAGGCTGACTAGTTTCCAATACGGAACTATCACTTCAGTTGTCAGAGGCTTATACACTGAATTTATTATAAAAAAACTAAAGACAACTCAAAGTCAGGTTTAGATATATGTGAGTTAATTTCAGGAAAATATAAAATCCAAAACAGATAGCCCAGGTGTAAAAAAACCTCAAAAGAAAGGCACATACATTTATTGCTGTGAGGATTAATTAGAAAACAAAGCTGTCAAAACTGCCATAAATACTTGTCATGCTACATATTATTGAACAAAGGGGGAAAAACACACATGTATTCCAAACAGATTGTATTCAAAATTTATTTTTAAATAAAAGAAAAAACATTTAAATAAACATGGTATATTCTACATATCTGTAGATCAACACGTTACATTAACCATTTTTAACTTTTAGAAGTTCTGTTGCAGCATCTTCTAAACTTGACAGTATTTGCTTCCATTTCATAACCAACTGAACAATACCCAAATGAAACTATTTGCTTAAGTGAAGCTTTATTTTTTGTGACCAAACATGGCTCTACTAATACAAAAGCACCTGTTAAACAATTATCCCCACCTAATTTTTTTAGGAAGTCTGTACAGCCTTTATTTTTGGTTCTGTTCCACTGCCTGCAGAAATCAGCATAAAGCTAAGTTGCAAGCTAAGCTTCACATTAGCAGTGCAATGAATGGCATCAAACTTCATGAAACAAAGATAGATACAAATATTGTCAGCAAAATTCAACTATGTAAAAAACAAGATTAAGACCAGAATGGCTTTGTGGATCACAACTAGACTAGCTTTCAGTATGCAACTTTCCTCAGGAAAAACACTTCTTCCTGATTCACGTTAAGAGAATGAAGCATGCATCAAAAGCCTTTGTTCATACAGAAATGTCCATTAAGAAGAGTTCCATGGTATCATAAGGCAAAAGAGATTAAGATGGATGAAGCATTTTGGCCCAGAATATATTTTAATGACACATACATACACATTGTACCTTGTGTAGCATATGACAGGTAAGAGATTGGCTCAGTAAGGTAAAAATATCCATTTTTATAAACACATGTCATTATTGCTAATATGCTACACGTTATCATCCAAGTTTTAAAACTGCTTGGTTGGCATTAGCCTTGTAATTAGCAGCTCACATTCATGGTGACAATATGCTATTCCATATGAAGTAAAGCAGCATAAATACAGCTATGAAAACAAAAGGCTTATGCAGCAACCCTCTCTAGCTTTGCTGTGTTTTTAATTAAAGTGTTTAAAGAAAACAAGTCCAGTTCACCACAAATTAGGAACTCTCACAATGAGAGTGGAAACCAAGTTTCATGTAGCAGGGAGGAAAAAAACACAGCATGCATTATAATCTAGTCCTTTCAGTCATACTACTGTAACACAGAAGTCCAATCTAAAGGCGAGACTAACAGTAGAAGGCAAAAAGCCAAAAGCAGACTTAGTTTGATACTTAATATTACACTTTCAATCAGTAACAGCAAACTCAACCGGCCCTTTAATATATTCACAATAACTACTGCAATTGAGTACTTAATTATGACTAGCATAGGTATGTATGTTCACTTTAAAAAGATATTAAATACTTGCCTCATGAATTTACCTTCTTAAGACATCATATAAGAAAATAGCTCACATGTGAAATGTTTCTGAAATGTATTTCCACCCCCCACTATGTCCCACACATGCACCCCCACCCCATCAAAGCATCCACTCACAGGGAAAAACAAACACCTTTAAAAAAGGATGGAAATATTGCAGGGGACCAGCTTGGCTAGTTATAGCACAGTGCTTAACAAGGTTCAAGACAGAACCAGATCAGAATTGGCCAAAAGATGCCCACAATACATGTCTGATCAGTAATTCCTTCCAACTCAACCTATCAAACTCAGTCCACTTTTGGTTTATTGCAATGACTAAAGTATTTCATATATACATATAAACACAAGACTCTAGATTTACTTCAGTTTGTTTTTGCAAAGCATTTTTACCTTTCCATTCATCTTGTAACATCTGCAGCAACTACAAGAGGTAGGCATAAAGCATTTAAGAGCTTCTCTCCAAGGTCCTGTTACTAGCTCAATTTAGTGAGATAAAACAGAAACCAGATGTACTTCTGTGATTTTACAACATACAGCCTTGTACAATCCAGTTGGAAAATAGCTTGGTGAACCCTGGATTTGCTAGGCTAGGACATCATGGAGTAAGAAGCTGTTCATATCCAGGAGGATACTTCATTATTTATTAAGAGTTTACTGCAGAGTAATCCTACAGAAAGTAGATGTCAGGACCAATTCTCTCAATTTCTATTTGTACATGGAAGTAAGATACCATTTGGCCAAGACTACAGATTTATTTTCACAGATGCAAGTGCCATGCAAAAATAAATTAAACAGATACCAAAACATACAAATAATAAAACTACTGATGGTATATGTTCTTAAAAGTATTTATATAAACAATTTATAATACTTTTCTTCCCCCAATTTCTCCTTTTGACATTCACAGTTACAAAGCTGTGGCTATACATCAAGAATTTCTTCTGCAGTGCCTCCACAACGTAATCTGTAGCGTCCTGTCCTCCACCTAATAGTGGGGTCCCACAAAGCAGATAGGAAAATATAAATTGTCATGGATTCTCTGATGAACCAAGCTACTGCATAATCGAATTTTGAAAAACACAGAGCACCGCCCTAGGAATATAAAAAAAGTATTTAAACATATCAATTATCCAAAAGGAATTTTAAAGTAATTGAAAACATTTGTATTACAGATTTAAGTCTATTCTAAATCTTTCCATACAGATTTATGTAGTAACATTTTCCTGTTCACAGTGTGATTACCCATATTAAACATGAGTAGCTCAGCAAAACAATCAGAAGGTTTGAAAAAAGACTTGTATGCAGAGCAAAAGGCAAGTGTGACAATTGCACTTTTTTCTTTTTGAAGCTTTGTAAAACTATTCAACCAGGTTTTTGCCACAGACCCCAGAAGAACAGCATCTAGACAGATGTCGATTGCACAGGAAAAGTGCTAAGAAAAATGCTGATAGTCTCCCTATTTTTCCACTCTTTTGAGAATTTTCAGCTACATGCAGAGCTGGAGTCAGAAGAGAAAGTGTAGGCACAGAGCTCTTCTACATGCTGTGCACCACAAGAAGAGTGATCAGAAAGGTGACTGTTAAACTGACCTTTTGGAGTTCTACAGAATCAACACAAGGCCTAACTTTTTATTTTAAAAATATTATTTATTTCCAGTACTGTGTTAGGACTACCAAAAGAATATTTTTCAATATGAGGACTATTTGATGTTTGAATGTACATCAAACTTGGATCAGGTTTGGATGGAGTATGATCACAGCAGAAGATAATTGGAATAGTTCCTGCAGCTTAAGAAGAACAAATGCAGCTCTGATTTGCGATGTCTTTCTATATTAGAAGTTTTTGAGGACTTGTTCAAGTGATGGGAAGATTTTATTTTTAGAAGTAGGCTGCAGCTGTCCTTTAAGTCCATTATTAACATATGCACCTCAATAAATAAAAGTGATGACTAAGATAAAATTAAAGAAAACAATGAAATCTCACAAAGCTGCTGTTCTTGTGCTGCTAAAAAAAAAGTTAACATTTCTTGATATGCATATGTAGAGCAAACTGGAAATATTAAGTTTAAGGGGACAGGTACCTAAAGTTTCAGAGTGTAGGCAAAGGCTGGTTTATACAGACAATAAAATTACAACCAAGCACACTTACTCCACGTCATGCTATTATAACTGAAGCTGGGAGACTGAGAAGTAACCTATTATTTCATCTATGCCAAATTTGTTGTTGAAATTTGGTTTAGCTTTTTTGCTGAAGCAGATGGCACTAGTAACTTCAATAACCTCCAAAGAAAATGAAGCTACATACCTGAACACCTTTCAGTTGAATGTAGTCAAATATAAACCATGCCAAGCAGTGACACAGGAAAAATACCATTATATCCCATCTAAACACATGGTGAGCTGCCCATCCAATAACCAGACTGGCAACAAAGCACTCAGAGATTGGCTCACAGATTATTGTGGCGGGCAACATATTTATTCGCAGTTTGGCCCACCTAGAAAAAGACAAACAAATCAGTTCTGACTGTACATTATTCTTTGTGTCCTCTTCCCCCACCTCACCAAATACCTCACCATTGTGGTCTGACATTTGATTTATATCTCAAAGAAAGCACTGCAAAAAAATCTGCCTTTCAAAGGTACTGCACATAGCATTTAAAAGGCACTTAGAGGCTTTTTTAGGGTTTTAAAAATACTAGTATCAGTCATACTTTGGTGGGAAGTCAGTGCCTCCCTCCCAACACTAACAAGAAGAGTGTATCAAGCCATGCATTGGAACTTCAGCATTCTGGACACAAGATCTAATTAGCTTAAAAAATGTATTCCCTCTCATTATGAGGTTATACACAGCAGAAACAGGTGACAGGAGTGGGTGGGAGAGGAAGTAAAGATTAAAATTCTACCTGATCATTCTGGACTGAAATTGAGAAATAGAATATGAACCAGAGTTTTGCATTGCAACTTGTGTGGCCATAGCAAATTTCCAGCCCCTGAAAAATTATTTTATTGTTATTTTTAAAACCATGCAAAAAAAAAAAAAAAAAAAAAAAAAAAAAAAAAAGAGATGCAGAGAACAATTAGAGAACAAACATCAGAAAGTTGTAATAGACTTGGAAAGCTTCTTTGGCATATGTGCCACATTATTACAATGAGCATAAGCAAAAAAATATTTAATGCATTTTATCAAGACTCTTCATTGGAGAAGAGCAAACACCACCTGAGTTAACACTTAAATCAGTTTTTCAGAAACTTGTTTTCTAAAGGAATTGAAAATTACATGGCTTAGTTATAGGACAAAGCATGTATCATAAGTATGTTTGCTTTAAACATATGAGCCTGATCTGAACACCTATACATACAGTATGTACCATGTACTTAAAAAAGATAAAATTACGCTGCATTAAAAGCAGTAAGCTTACTTCAGGGTCATCTTACCGATCAGCTATTGCTTTGGCCATAAAGTAATCTTCAGCAATATATTGTGCAAAAGCTATCAGTCCTCCAGCTTGATCCAAGACATCCTTCCTCATCAAGCATGACATCCCTGTTACACACTTGAAGCCAGTTAAGTGGGCTGAAATATATGACCTGGGATGTGAAGTTCCAAAATAAACCTGCCAAAACAAGACAAGGCTTTTCAAACTTCATATGTATTTATGTGAGTACTACTCTAACAACCTTTCCTCTAAAAAACGTTTGGAAGAAAAAAAATGTGTTAGATGTAGGAATTATGACTGTTATCTGGGAAGATACCACCAACCTAAGAAATTTGTCTACCATAAAATCTGATAAATCTGTTAGTGACACTGGGTGTGTTTCAATCCACATTAAGCTACTGTATTTCATTTGTTATTTAATTTGGAATTTATTGAGGTTGTTATCAGGGAATACATGTATTAAAAATCCATTAAGTTAACTTTCTAATTATTAGGATTCATATAGCATTATGTGATAGCTGACATGCTGTCTCCTTTTTCTTGTAAGAATTAACTGCTTTACTGCATACATGTTCTTAGAAAGTTATTATATACAGAAGCAGGGGAATTTTCTTTACTCAAAGTACTTACAAACAAATAGCAAAGAAAAAAATTCAGATTGTGAGTGGGCCTTCTCAGAAGATTCAGTATGACACAGTAGAATTTTTGAACATTTAAAAGTTAACCTAGATTGTTCGAAGTGTGCCTACAGCTAAAACCAGGTATTTCTTCACTCAAAAGGTGAAAGAGGCAGTACAAAACTTTTAGCCAGGAAGATGTTGCAAAAACAAAACCAACAAAAACAACAAAAACCAACACAAAATCCAAACAAACAATTACATGACATTTCACCCACCTGTTCAAGGGTTGCAGCAAAACCCTGTCTGTCTGCAACATAGGGAAGCCCATGGACCAAGCCTACTTTTTCAGTCATTTGGTTAGCCATGTCAGTCAGTGTGTCTGGAGTTACTAAGTGACAAACAAAAAATGAGACAGTTCCTTGAGCAATTCTGCCAAGAGCAAACTACTGTACAGAGACACTAATTCTCATCTGTTACCAATAACAAAAACATGTATGCTTTGTTGCACAGCATTTTGCAGGAAAAAAGTTTCAGGAAAATAGTGATTAACATGATTATTATGATCAACAATAAATACAATGGGAACAGTTTGAACACTATTTTTAAATAGGATTTTCACCTTTAGAGATCAAACATTTTTATACCACAAAACTGTTTCTCTACAGGGAAGAAGAGCAATATAATACTCAGCACATTACAAACCACACCTACCTCTAATTCCACTGTCACAAATCCATATGAGATCATATTTGGCATCTTCATAGCCAGGCATTAAGTTGTTAATCTTGGGGTTGATGCCAACCTTCTTGCCACCTAAAAAGTACAAACATGATACACAAATAACTTACAGGTTTGTTTTAGAATTCAGACTCAATACCCAAAATATTTAGATAGACTAACTGAAGAACTACAAAAGTTTTCACATCAGTTCTTAAGGTCTACTTTTATGAAAAATATTTACATTTTAATTATCCTTTCATGTCTATGTTTTAGGTCCTACTGTAATTATGCAAAGAATAAAAAAGAAAATATTAAAATGCCTCCTCAAAATGGCACGGTAACAAGAGTATTGTAATTAAAAAGCCATTAGGACTACAAAGTTCATTACATTCTGTAGGATGCTCTCTACCTCTTATTTTTTAAGACTACTGATCATGACTATTGTTCTCTACAGTAGAAGCAGAAAAAATAAGTAACAGAATAAAGTGAGGAACACTTCTGTGTACTGGCAGACATGGTCCAGTTTGGTTCACACCGGAGAAAGACATAACATTCTATTACCTAGTCCTACTATCCCTTCCCTCCTCTAATTCAAGTGTAAACTGAAGAAGGAGCCCTACAGTCCAAGATGATGAAGAAGGATTCCAACCCCTACCATTGAGTGATTCTGTGTGATTGCTGCAGGACCACAAACTCAAATACAGCCACAACTTCAACTCACTTCCTGCACATTCCATTCAGTGCAAAGACAGGATTCAAACCACTGTTTCATTCAGATTTAGAAAGAAAGTTGCAGGGATTGCATGAATCACTCTTCCTAGAGTTTTTCTGGACTATTGTCACAGATTATGACTACAGACTTACTTCCTTACCCCAAACTGATGATTAAGCTACAAAACCAACAAAGGCTGGACAAGATTACTATTTAGTTTAGACTATTAAGCACAAAGACCTAAAAACATTTTACAAGTAAGAATCCCACCTTTAAATTGCACTGCTTACCTATGAACAATCTAGCATCAACATTCGGGTATTTGCCAAGAAGCTTTTTACATACATCAATAGCTGGATCGTCATGATCTTGTACACAGAGTAGTACTTCATACTGGTAAAAAGAAAAATGTATACATACACATATATATTTACACACACACACTTAATATCTATATGGACTAAGGAATAAAGCTTATAGTGTACCCAACTGAAAAAATAAAGAGCACTGTTACCGAGTTAAAAATAAAACCAAGGGGGTTGTTTTATAGCCAAATAAGATTTTTTTTCCATGCACAACCAAGTACTTGTGAAAAAAGAACCAAACCTGTATCCCAATACACTCCTGTTCTGAGTAATATTAAGTCTTCCTGTTATCAGAAAGATTTTGATTAGGCATAAGCAAGACACCCTGCTACACAATTTTCCTTTCCACTTCTATTTTTGTTTACATATGAATCTTAAATCCAATCTTATATTCAATTAAATTACAGCACACAAGATATTAAAGGAATGATGTTATAATACACTTGATTGCATATCTCAGAACTTCACCTTCCTGTTCTTTGTAGACGCATATGTATGCACAACAGAGTTGGAAGACAACCCACAAAGACCAGAATAAGTTCACTTAATTGTATAATAAAGCTAAGCTCAGGAACATGTATGTGCATATGTAATGCACATATATTTTCCTCAACAGAATAATGCTTGAAAAATCAACAATAGGTAAGTGAAAACTGTAGCTTTTTCAGTGATCAAGCTACGTGCTTGTTAGATGTAAGGCACAGAGAATGGGTGAGGACACAGCATTTTAGCATTTTAAGAATTACCCAACATTTTTAGACAGCTTTCCAGGCTTTGATGGAGATATTTCTCTTTCTGCATTAACAGCAAAAATACAAAGAATAAAATTCAGAAAATGCAAGTGTCTGATCAAAATACCTAGAAGCCATTTTTTACACACCAAGACCTAAAAATGTTACCTCATTAAAAACAATTTATTTGGACCTGATTTGACAAAGCAGTTGTAAATAAATGTAAACTAATGTAAATTAATTTAAATAAATACATATTTCAAGAAAAAATGGTATGTTTAAAAACAAGAAACCCGAATGACTTTAATCACATTCAGAATTTTGTGGAAACAAAATCATTAACCACTAAACAGGAATTGGTAAGACTTGGTCTAGCATTACAACGTATGAGACAAACACATCTCTAGTTCTCTAAATGCAAACTCAAAGCCAATTTGCCTAAAGAGTGAACACTATTTGATTTCCATCATTTTACTAGCATGGAAAATGAAATTTAAAGGGCAAAAGACCTGTCTCATTAAGCAGACAGGTCCTTCCACCATAACAGCACAACCTGACAGCACAAACACCCCAGAAATTACTAACTGAGGAACTTATTTAATTGGGTGAGCAATGAAGAACTATCTATAAGAACAACTATTTTGCTAGTAATTAAATAATTAATGTTCAATCCACAGTTGCTGTGGCACATCTATATCCATACCTCTGATATTCCAATATTTTTTAACAGAAAAATTAACAGTAAATAACCTTTGTATGCATTAACCAAGTAAAGAACTACAAAATATAGGACTATATATATGCAAAGATGCTTGTCTACTTAAACATCACAATCAGGTTTATTTGGACGTAAGATAATAGAAAGATATCTGCCAAAACCACAATAAGCACAGTAGGCAAAAACTGTTCACTGATAATATTATGTGTTAAGTCCTGCAGTTTATAAGCTGTTTAACTGGCTTCTAGGCAAGACAAGCTTACTTCACATATTGGATATCACTGTAGAGTATCAGAGAATCAGTACCACTGCAGGTTAAACTTGTTCCAGCAAAGCTGAGTTCAAGATTTTTGTTAAAATTATTTCCTAATAATTTTTCCCCAGACAGCCTAACTTTGAATACTAGGCTACACCATTGTGCTAATTTTTGTGGTGTAGTTAATATCTTAAATGAAGTATTTTTACATTTGGTGTACATAAGTGTTCTCAAACAGTTTGAGGATCTTGCTTGTACTGTATAATCTGTGCTCCGGTAAACTGAAACACTCACATTTCCATTTTCACTCATCTTGGGGAAAAACGTAATTGTCACCGCAGTTACCAGGTTTGTGTAGAGTAGCAACATTTTAAGATTGCCACCCATACGTGTAAGTTACCAGAAGTAAGGGTCAAGACTACATGTCTAACAAGATCCAGCATAACTGTTTTTCTGAATTCTCAAAAAAACTGTATTTGTAGTGAAATATCTCAGCTGCATGCTTTTATGCTCATTATAGTAATAAGATAGCTTAACGTATTGTTGCCACTTATTTGCACACTTTGCAATATTGGCACACACAGCATGCCCTAAGTGTGCTTTAAACTTATCTTGGCCACACTTAATCTTTTCTTGCACTTTGGCTGAGTAAAAAAGATTAACTGTTCATGCCGAATGCTTTTCCAAGGGCCTCAAGCTGCATTAAAGAAAAACTATCCAGCTTATATTAAGCTTCAAATGGTGGGTTTTTTTAATTGTTTTACCTGCCTACTTAGGAGTAAGTTTAAAGCTCCCAGTTGCAAAAGTTAAAGGAAACTTACTGTGGAGTTTACACTTACCTTTAACCTTTTGCAACTAAAGCAGCACTGTCAGAGGCAGTTTCAAGAAGAACTGAGATATATATTTTTTAATTAAAGGTAAATTACAAGTTTTGGAATTCAGGAGATAAGAAGTAGAAAACATAATCCTTTTCCTTTCCAGAGGAGCATACACCAAGTATGGAATGATGCAGCAAGCATTTTCAGATTTGAGTTGCAAGCTCCTTGGAGCAAGGACAGCATCTGACACACTTATCACTTCTATTACAAAGTCAAACAGTGTTCAACAGCAAATGCAAGTATTTTTAACTATTTGTTTCTCAACACCAATAAGTGGCTTGGAGAATATTCTACGTACCAACAACTGGCAAGGTAGGCCACCTCATCATTGAGCTACCCTTCATTAGATGACTCATAATTAATAACTACAATGAAGTTTCAGGCTATCAGAGAAGTGTTCTTTTTTTGAGAACACTACAGAGTATTAGTTAACTGGCGTGGGTGTCTGACCTCTCATATAATCTTTTATAGATTGAAGGGCTTCATACTGCTACAAGCACCCTAATTTGGAAATAATGATTAAACAAATCTTAGTGTAGAGTATGTCTCACCCTGAAGCCCTGGTCATGCTCATTTAAGGATAACTTTTTAAAAAATCAGTCATTTTTGTTTGTGACATGTAAAATGTACAATTATGCATTTTCTGTGGAAAGCAAAAGAATCCAAGACATCATCAGGTTGCATATTTCTACCCCAAGCTCCCGATATGTCTTTTGGAGGCATGGAAAGGGGAAGGAAAAAAGATACTAAATAATATACATACTTTTGGATAATCCAGTTCAAAGAAGGTTTCTAAGTTGTTGATCAGGTTTGGATCCACACCTTTTAGCGGCTTCAGAAGTGAAACACCAGGAAGCTTACTATATGGCTGCTTGTCTGTGGCCTTCTTATTGAGGTGGAGGCGTCTGCAAGGAGGAAGAACAGATACCATTACATAAAGAAAATGCTCTAGAGAATTCCACACAAAATACAGTCAGAACTAAGAAAGCTTGAAAGTTAAAAGTGCTGCAAAATAAATAGTTTTGGATTAAGAAACAACAGGTACTTTTTATATCTGACAGTTGATGAGTCAGAGACAATGCTTAAAAAATCATAAGCATCTTATATAGGTTAAATTCAACCTTATTCAACTTATTAGATATTTCAAATTAATGCATTTTGCATTATGCATTTTGAACAGTAAGAGTATACGTTTTTTCAAACCACACAAGAGACAAAAATTTTCTGCTTTCCTCCATAGCATTAAAACTCACACTATTGTAACCGGATAAACAGAATAAAGCCCACCATTAACTGTAAGCAAGGCAAAAAAAGGAAAGACTCAGGTTCTTCCCATGTATTAAGTTACACAAAACTTAAAAAGCTGAAAGCACATGGGAAACAGTGCATCCTACTGACTATTTTGTTAAGAAACACCTTCAAGAAATGGATACAGATCAATCAACTGTCATAAAAAACCTATAAACTGGACATCATGTTGGGTCAGAAGCATAGCTAAACTGAGAACACAATTCCAAACAGCCTCTAATATTTCAGCAATGAAGATGCAAAGTAAATTGACAATCATGTCACAACTCATTAACAAGAACATGTAATCCTATGTGAATGAATGCAAAATTAAATCCTGAAAGCTTGATGGGCCACTAGACAATCAAATTTCTATCAAGTAAATACATACAATTTAAGTAATGAGAGAAAGTTTTTGCTGGAACTTAAAAATTTCAAATTAGCATATTTATTGCATATTGTAGTTCTCTAACACACACAGTAGTCAGGCTGAAAGAGTATTTTATTGTAGCATGTACCTAATGGTATCCATTCTTATCTTAAAAACTTCTACAGTTCAAAATCTACAAGACACTGCTTAAAAAAAAAACAACAAAAAACCCCGACCAAACCCAACAAAAATAGGAATAGGGTTTCTTCATTAAGTGCTTCATCCCAGTTAAAGGGTAAAAACAAAAAACCAGTCAAGCTCCTAGGAAGCATGCTCCTGAAGAATGTCTCTGACCAACTGAAGTTATTGAACGACAAAGGAGCTCCTTTGAACAAGGAACAAGAAATTCCAAGAGCTCTCTACAGCTACTTTTTTCCTGAAATGGACCAGTGACATCACAGCCCCACAACCATAATGCTGTTACAGAGAGCAAACAATGGGCTCACTAAAAAGGCAGAAGTACCAAGCAGATGATGTCCTTGTACTGTGATTGAGTCCAAGACTGGGCACTGCAGAGGTAAACTGAAATAATGCTGCTGAGCAATTAACAGCCAGGGGACAGTCAGACCAATGTAAGAAAAGCAATAGTTCAGATAGCTACCACAGACAAAGATTTTCCTTACCAATCTCCACAAACACAAGAGCAAACAAAGGTTTTAGTACAAGTAAGAAGGATGAGTCCCATGAACACTACTTTGACCAGAAGAAACAAAGGTAGATAAAGCAAGGGGGGTCAGAAGTACTCAACTTAAAACAGTCTGTAGCAATGCATACAGCTTTGTACAGAGGCAGAAGCCTTGATGAACAGGAAATAAGAGAAGTGACAATTAAATGGAAAAAGGTAAGGAAACAGTATGAAGACAGACCTGAGGCAGAACTGTGATGAAGAATAAGAGCCAAGTGATAAAACTGTAGAATCTTGCAAGGCATCACGTTACAAACCACGCTAACACATAGGATTATGCAGGTAATGGAATTATGTAAGGAACAGCCTACACAGGGTATAAGAGAGGTAAACCCTGGAAAACATGTTTTATCAGGCTTTATTCAGCTATGTAACACCATACACTGAGACTTCTGACAGTACAACTCAGTATGGCAAGATTGCCTCTAACACACTGCTTTAAAATAATATTCCAACTCATGACCTATACATAAAACTACATAAAAGTGGTAGCTCGCCATCCTGGAAGGACTGCAGTATCATGACAATAAGGTAAAGCAACTTCCATGCCAGTAATTGCAATGCTTTGTTAGACTCCATGGAGTAAGAGGCAAACTAACAGTAAATTATCATTCTACAGTGAGAACTAATTGTGAAGCGGCATATTCTGAAGAGGAATTTAGAAGTTAGTGGAAAATCTACTAGAGAAACAGACCAAACATAATAAAAAGCCAAGTTACGATATTCCAAAAAGGCTAACATTTACCATGGAAGTCAAAGTAATTGACTAAATTTAAACATTAACACTGTAGAAGCAGGTATGTTCTAAACCAAGTTGTGAGTTACAGAAAATGCACTGAAGTCTCCAAGGCAGAAGTAAGATGAAGCAATAATTTGATATTTTTGAGCACTAACTTGTCTTTGTGGTGGTTCAGTGCTCTCGAGTCAAGAGCTGTAATCATAGTGGTCTTTATCCTAAAGGAAAGAAATCCTTTCACAACGTTTTTGTCACATACAGAATTTTATAATTTATTTTTTTTTGTACTGAAGTTGCTCAAACCAGTAAAAAATACTAACTATACAGATGTATTTGCTTAATGCATTTTTTTCTACCTCTGCCTAACACAGTAACCAGCAGAAAAACACTACACCAAGGAATGTATAACTTTGAGCTCTCAAACAGATGCTGGCAGAGCTCTATTGAAAGGCACTTTCAGATATCATGTGTGAAAGATCAGTAGGTAGGTTTTCTATAAGCACTTTTGCACCTACATATATTAAATGGATCTGCCTGCAATCCCTAGGTAGTGAAACTGAAACTTCTAAGCAGCCTGGTGCTAGTGTATGCATGTAGGGGAAAAAAGCAGCAGGATGCAAAACAGTGTCATGAGCTTCAGTTCAACTATCCTATTTCATTCAGGAGACGTGCAAAATTTTCTCAGTTGCAGATCCTCAACACAATAACAATTAACTCACAGAAGCAACTGTAAATTAGATTCCTTCCCTCCACAGAGGGAATAAAAAGTTTCCTAAAACAAAATCCAGGCTACTAAATTATAATTGCTCAGTATAACATAGTATGAATTCTTGCCAAACTTTTTTTTTTTATTAAGGCCAAGACTACACTTCTTACCCACATGGGATTAAGGGCAGGAGAGTTTTGTAGCAAAATGAAAAGCTAGCTACAGTAGACACACTGTTGGATCTCTCAGGTGAGATAGTAACACATGCCTTTCAAAAGCAGCTGAAAAACCCTGAAGGCTCTTTATTTGTCCACTTCAACCTCCCCTCAGCACTTACTTTACTTAAAAAATTAACCTGTTAGGGGGAAGCAAGTAATTTTTGGTCAGAAATTCCTAACAGGTAGGAGTTCCACAAGCCACCAAGATAAGCCAGCAGATCATTACCTCTGAAAGAGGCTGTTTTCCTGCTTCTTGAATTTACAAACATTCCCCCAACCACCACAAAGTTTTCATGTTAGTGAGGTGAAGCACCTCACATAGGTGTTTGTGGAGTGGTATGGAGCAACAACAGGAGAATTTTATTTCTCTTGTTCACAGCTTGAACAGGAAAAACAAAATGTAAGATTATCCTTCTTCTTTTGGCATCAGAAAGGTAAAAAGGATGAGCTCCCCATATATTCCTTTATTTCTATACATATCTTAAATGTTAAAACATCTCAAAAACTAGGTCACTTTATGCATAGGGAGGAAAAAAATGCTATAGATATACCTCACTGATAAAAACATCAAATACAAAATGAAAGTTAGAGGAGTTCAGAAAATAATACAGACACCTCAATTTATGAAAGGGTTAACAGCACCCTTGGTTCACAAGGATTAATATTAGCCCATTTAAAATCCTGCCACATTAATGATATAAAGACAATTCTGCCTAAGAACACCAAATAAGTTTCAGTATCTTAACAGCAGTAGCTTTATACAGTCATCTGATCATCTTACAATTAAGTGACCAAGAACACTTTTGAGATAGAGATTGCACTTATATATATATAAAAATGCATATACACGTTACATATACATGCATAACTACATATTCATAGATGGATACAAGTTTATTTATCTGTAGCAAACTCATGGATTCAAGACAGCATTTGGCTTGGGAGCCTACCTGTGAAGATGGGAATGGGTCTGCACGAGCAGCCTTTGCCATAGCTCTGGACCATCCCACTGGGAAGTAGAACAAGACGTTTGGGTGTGGAGGCAAAGAAATGTGCAAGAGGACTCTGCTACGACACAACTAAACCTGAATACCACACAACTATCAAGTACTTATTTCTCACCCTACTCTATCCAGATTTAAGCACGCAGGCATACTTCCATGCATAAAGAGGTCCACTACATTAATTACTCCTTTTTAGGGACTCCCTAGACTTCAGAAAGATTTGGAAGTGGCAAAACTTCCAGTATCACCCCTGGCCACAGGTCTCCTAGCAAATGCACAGAACTATTCTTAAACCAGTACCTAAACACCTGGACCTTATTTCCAACCTTTTTCCCCCTTAGAATGGAGCTTCACATTGTAACTGAACCAGTTTAACTACAGGGTACTGGTCAGAGACACTTCCTTTTTCTCCTTACCCCTTTCTGGGATTTGCTGTGCTTCTTGCTGTACACAGGTCTGATCCCATACTGAGCTGGTTGAGATACTTAAACCACCACATAATTATTACCCCATATATAATGTTAGCATTTTATCAGCTTAACTTAGCAAGTATACAGTTTGAAAGAATACAGCAAGATGATCACGCAGACTCAAGATCCCCTGGTGCTCCTCTGTGATGCCACTAACACTAGCCAAACAGAACATTGTACCAGTATTGACATCTGTACAATCCTGCTTCAACTCACCCACTTAACAGAGAGTTAAATCTGGCTTTTTTCCTCCCACTTCAGATTATCTTCTCCCAAATTAGTTAGGGCACTGCAGAGATGGCTGCAAGAAGCTCCAAAGCATGTCCAAGAAGGTAGCTGTGAATGTGCTGCCAAGATCATGGGATCAGAGGATGAATAGGGACTACCTCCTCAGG